AGCATTAAAATTTGACATCAGGGTTTTAACTTCTATAATCTTGTGATTAAGCTTTTTCTTTAAAAGTTGAAATGCATATTTAAATAAATCTCCATACCTGCGTAGGTTTCTGCTGCTGAGTCTGTCCATTCTTTGACCCACAATTTACAACGGATGAACATTAATTTATGAATATGACAATCATCACCTTTTCTATGATAGCATCACAAGCATCAAACCTTGGACAGATCTCACAGTGCCATCCCTGATTCACCACAATATCCTGATGGCAAATGCAGCAGCTGGTCCCAACACTTTGCTTGGTTGGATTATGGAGATAATAAAGGATCATCATTGAGGAATGCTTGACATGGCGAAGGGTATCAAACTGATAATGATTTCCTTGACAGAAGCTTAAGAAGGAGTGCCGATTCTCAAAGTAACCATTATCTATAATAACATATGTATCCTTTGTATTAACAGGCACGTCCTTCACTACAACCTGAAGAGCATAGGAGCATATATGTAAAAGCAGAATCTAACTGAACAAGACCATGTACCAAAAGTGCTTTATTAACTAGAGTATGCATGGAAATTTTTTTGTACAAAAACACTCATAACTACAAAAGTTTCTTCCTCTCTAAACATTATTTAATACTTTCATATATACCATGGTATTATATTTTTGACTAATAAAAATCTGTATCACACTAATTGGGTTATTTTTTATCTCCTAACTAATCAGCAGTCGGCATGTCAAATCTGTAAAATTTTCTATTATGATAATACTGTAAAAGTGTGGAAGCTTTCTAATGGAGTTTGGAAGATGGATTGCTTCCCTGCTCCTCAAATCCATACTGATTGGGTTAGGGATGTTGCTTGGGAACCTAACTTAGGACTCCCTAAATCCACAATTGCAAGTGCTTCACAGGATGGGAAAGTCATTGTGTGGACTATGGCGAAGGAAGGGGATCAATGGGATGGTAAGGTTTTGAAGGATTTTCAGACCCCTGTTTGGAGGGTCTCTTCGTCGCTCACTGGAAACATACTGGTCGTGGCTGATGGGAAAAACAATGTAACATTGTGGAAAGAAGAAGTAGATGGAGAATGGCAATAGGTGACAACAGTTGAGCCGTAAAGCTCAAGCCCCCACCCCTTTTTTCTCCTGATTATAGTTCAATACTTTGCTTGAAATTGAGGGTCCTAAGACAGTCAAAACTTTTAGTCTTTCTAAGAAGTCAGTTGCATGATATGAAGGTTTATAAATAATGTTTCCCTGATAATTACTGCTCACCTGAATGTTTACAATATACTTCTCAATATCTGGTTTAAAGATTTGTTTGCCAGGTTGTCTGCTCATGACAACCTAAAACTCATGTGCATTTTACATTGAATGTGGATAAAGTTTCTGCAATGTGAAGGTGTACCCGAAAATTGCTAATCTGAAGAAGCTTTTAAATAATGGTGGTATTTGCAATGAGAATTTTTTAAGGGAAATATACTGGATAATATAGCAAGTATACGTACTTGTGTCTCGTAGTGCATGGAGATATTTTAAGCGCTGATAATCTTATTTATCAAGTTCTGATTTCTTAAATGATCTGTTTGTTTGGCACAATAATCTATTATAATGCAATTCTGTTTGAGGCGTAGATTTCATTATTGATTTATAACAAAAATGGAAAAAATAATCAGAGAATAGATGATATTCTTGTGTCCTTTTTCTCTTACGCATCCTCAATTCTTCATTTACAACACGCATTAGATTAGACATACATATATACACACACACAAGTTCAATCTATGTAAACAATTGTTCAATTCCAACAAGCATTAAGATAAGAAACAAGTTCAGTCTCTGCAAAACACAGATTGAAACACAATAAGAAATTGAAAATACAATAAATAGGTCGATTACGGAGATCGGAGATCGATTACGATAAACAGTGATTGAAACACGATAAGAAATAAAGTAAGACATAGATTGAAACACGATAAGAAATTGAAAATACAATAAACAGTTCAATCTATGTAAAACACAGATCGATTACGATAAGAAATCGAAAGTTCGAATTGGAGCTCTTACAGGTCGATTACGGAGATCGATTACGGAGAGAGAGAGAGAGAGAGAGAGTGAGAGAGAGAGAGAGAGACGCACCAAAATTTGAAGATTGAGCTCCCAATCTGCCTTGGAGCTCCAGACTTTAGGGCTGAAGATTGAGCAAACCGAGGTGCGAGAGATTGAAGATTGACAATTGAAGATTGAGCTCAATCTTCAATTGTTAATTGAAAAACGACTATTAATCTTCAAATGTGGAGCTCAATTTGCCTTGGAGCTCTTACAGGAATGAAGATCGATTACGGAGGGAGAGAGAGTGAGAATGAGCAAGTTAGGGCTGAAGTGAAGAATGAGGTCCTGATTTTTCAATTGTTAAAATGATGAAAGTAATTGCTCTCAAATTGTTTCTAATTGATAATGGCGAAAATATTTGGTCCTAAATGTTAATAATATATTAGCAACCAAATTTATTAGTCTAAAAAAATTATGTCAATATTAAGTGAGAATATTAATAATCATTTTTACAATCTTGTAAGTAAATTATCATATGTTTAAATTTATCCCTAAAAGATTATTTTTAGCGACCAAATTTAATTAGTCTCTAAATATTAGTCTTTTTAGACTCTAAAAGACTAATTTCTTGTAGTGCATGAGGTTATCTTTGTGACTATGGTAGTGCACAGAAAATAGTTTCTACAATATATCTTAATAAGTACTTAGGGAGATAAACAATTTCCGTTTATCAGTATAATAAGTTACTGCAGAAGCAGCTTTTATATCTAATCTAAACATGAAATGAATGCCCAGAGATAAGAATAATTTCCATCTTCAACACAATAGAATTTCACAAAAGCCACATCATAATTTCTTCATTCTGAGTTGAGTTTAGGCAATCATATTAAAACTCATAGAGAACCCCACATCACAATAACTTCGATTATAAAACAACTTGATCAAAAATAAATGTAAAGAAAAACACACACAAAACAAACAAACAAGCAAATAAAAATTTTATTAGAATCATGTAGTTAATATTAGAGGCAGCAATGGTGGGTTTTGGATCAGTGATGACAAGAGGGGAAAAAAAAAAAGAAGGTAAATCTTGATTTCACATGAAGTATTATGTTATCGTGTTTAGGGTTAGTTTAAGTTTTATTCTGTGGAGTCTTTGTTAGCTCTAGAATATTCTAATTGGTCAAAATTCCTTAAGCTTATAAAAATATGGGAAGTCTATCACCTGTCAAAATTTTGTAACTAAAAAGGCAAAACAAAAACATCAAGCTCTAGACATCCACAATATTATTAAAATATATATATTTAAAGGATCTGGGTTTGTTTACTTTAGTCATTAATAAATAAGTATTGTAAAACTAGGGTCACAATGTACTTCGTTCCTACAAATGAAGAGAATCCACCAAGCCGACGAAATTATCCATGTCAAGTATAACCTTCCCTAAATCTAACTATACCAACAAAAAGAACCTCTCAAGCCTATAAAGGGGTTGTTCAACTCCTCAAAAGGTCTTCCTATTACGCTCTCTTCAAATGAGCCACATCAAATGTAATGGAGCTAATCACAAAAGGCCCTCCTCCTCTGCCTCCACACAAACTAAACAAAACAAGACACATGTTTATAAGATTTGTCAAACTGATCAATGAAAACAAAAAAGAAATCAAGATTTTTGGCTTTTCTTTAAGAAAAAAAATAAATTAACCACACATATATGGAGTAGTTCACAGCATTACTTTCCACTCAAGCAGGATATGAAAGATGCAATAAAAGAATATACAATTCTACACCTTTAAAGAAAAAAAGAAAAAGAAAACCAGACAATTCAAGTGAGTCTGTAGATAGCTTGATCCAGAAGAGAGATTGAGAATTATCCGGTTGGCTTAGTCTGCAAGTACAACAAATTACAAGGGTTGGACCAACCAACCAAAGCTGAGTTGATGGACATTCTTTGAATGAGGTGATGGACAGATAGCTGGATGCGGACTCAGTATTTGTGGTGAGCACAGAAACAATAACGAGTGAATGAGGTGATGGACATTTTTTGAACTGGTCTCTAATTAATAGATTGCAATATAATAAAGAGAACTAGGTGCTCCGGGCAAGTTGATTTTGTTCAATTTCTTTGGTTTCTATGAGACCGGAGGCAATTGGTTCAAAGTGATGTCTAATAGCAGCTCCTGTGTATTGAGAACAATATTCCTACACATTTTGTTCTCCTCCACAAACTTATGAGAGTATCATTCATACATTTTTCCACCAAGAAAGCTCTGATATTATTTGCAGCAAAAAACATTAGCAATTTATTTGATTTCTTTTATATTAACCATGATGTATTCAAACTAATACATGGAGTCTGTTAGTTAAATCTAAATGGATATATACAATTGTGACCAAAGGATTATTGACAACCATTAAACTACTCTATTCACAATTAATTTAAAGGAATGGAGAATTGAAGAATTGGAGAAGTACCTCAAATACCCATTGCAACTGAAGAACCAAAATGAATCTCAATGGGCCTATGTGGCCAAACACCACCCTCACAGAACAGCTCAAATCGCATCATAACTTCTGCACAAGTACATAATATTAATTGCATATTTTAACAAAATCAAGTTTTGCCCAATATTGACATGTTAATATTCAACATAAAATGTTATTTGTCAAGGACCAGTCTGGCCAAGCTGCCTTCTAGTATTCTAATCAAACCTTAATCTGCATATCTATACATCCATATGACAGACTCCAGACCTTAGGGTCTGGATGCAACAAGCAGATAAGGCAATGTGACCAACTCTTTAGTTAGTATATAGATAATTAGTGAGCCTAGCATGATATCTTAATTTTAGGATTATAATAAACTCAAACCAGTAAACCGTCCAGCAGAGCGAAGAATTTTTGGATTCTATAATTACTCAAGGATTCAACCCATGTTCTTCCATGAAACACAAAAATACACGTACTTCATTCTAAATAATCCAGTGGCTTCAATATCAGTTAATATCTCTCACAAGAATACACGTACTTCATTCTTTTTATAATTTATGCCGTCACTGCGCCAAGACACAGCATTTGTCACAGCCATAGGTGGCCTTTGTGTCACTTCCATCCTATAAGCATCGGTCTTAATAAATTCACTTAGAATCTTTGCTTCAGTGTATTGAGGGTAGCCAAAGTCCATCATCTCATCAAGTAGTTCGTACTACCAAATGAAAAAGCATCAGTAAAGCTTCTTCCAAACAATTATTAGTATCACAATCAAAACAAAAGACCTTGATAGAAAAAAGAATTGATAAATTAACTTACCACTACAACAAAGTTATGTCTAAGTGGTTCCTCTTCTAACTCTTCAAAATAATGCTTAAAGACCTGCCAACCAAAACATGTATAATTAAATTTGCAAAACTGATTCATCAAAGAAGTTAATGATTTTTTGTCCTCTCAAAGCATCTACAGGCAGACAGCACCAAAACAGACTTGGTCAACATTTGTCCTCTCGCTTTTATCTAAAAAATGCTACTAAAAAATAATTAACAAACCAACCCCTTCATATCAACCCCAATCAATTGATACAAAAATATCCAAACCATTTAGCCAATTACCCACAGTGATGCATTGGTAGAGTTACCAGCATAAAAATTCCCATTAAATCCAAAACAAATGAACACAGATGAGATGATCTTAAAAAAAAATTGAGCTTTCGAAGCAAATTCAGTATCAAAGGAACATCAACTACAGTTTCTATCACTGGCATAGCAATTCAAATCAATCATAAACATTCATGCACACAGTTACATGTAAGTACACAGAGAGAGAGAGAGCGAGCGAGAGAGAGAGAGAGAGAGAGGAGACCTTGGGGCAGCATTTGCCGCAGTTGGAGCAACGGATGAACTTGACATGGCCACGGGCGTGCTTGTTGCGGCCGCCATTCCTTCGCTTGAAAGTCTGCACAAAAACAGAGATACATACATATATAGATTCAGAGTTTTGATTGATTGATTGATCGATGATAATTGGTAGTAAAACTGAGAAATCAGTATCTCTAATCAGCGATCTGTCTTACCATCTTGATCGGTAGCCTCTGGTTCACTTCCCAAACCCTTGCTTCAAGGTTCTGCCTCGACGGCTCTCTAGGGTTTTTTTTTGTTTTGTTTCTGAGGGTAGGGGAACACTGTGGGTAATGATCACTTGTGTGTGATACTGTTGCCTACAGATAAAGGCGCGGGTCCGAATTAATGAAGTGGCGCGCGAGTTGAAATTTCAACCTTTACCGACTAATTTTCTACTTAGTCGGGAAATGAATGAATTATCACTCAACAGCGACGAAATTTTTGGTCGCTAAAAGTCATATTTCGCGACTAAGTACTATTTTAGTCGGGAAAATATATATATTACAGGTTATTTTTTTTTTAGCCTAAATTGTATACTAACAGCGACTAAATTATTTTTAGTCGGGAAATGAATGCATGATCAGCCTTTACCGACTAAACTTTTTGTAGCCAAAAGTGTAATTTACCGAAAAGACCATTAGCGACTAGATGTCAATTAGTCGCCAATTAGTTTTATAAAATCTCTCCAAATTTTGAAATTAATCCCTCCAAATTTTTTAGTTTTCGTGACTAAACTTTTTTTTTTGTCGCTGAAAGTACGTTTTTGGCGACTAAAAGTTTGGTTTCCAAAGAGAAAAATTATTTTTTTATTTTCCATTCGGCTACTAAATATTTTAGTAGCGAAAAGTCAATATTCGGCTCCTAAAATTTTTTTTGTCGCTGAAAGTAAGTTTTTGGCGACTAAAAGTTTGGTTTCCAAAGAGAAAAATTATTTTTTTATTTTCCATTCGGCTACCAAATATTTTAGTAGCCAAAAGTCGATAATTAGCGACTAAACTGATTTTTCGTCGCCAAACCTATACTTTTGGCTACTAAATTTTTTTAGTCGCCAAAAAGTTTTACTTTTGGCTACTAATGTTGTTTTAGTCGCCAAAACCTATACTTTCAGCGACCAAAAATTTTTTTAGTCGCCAATTTGGTCGCCGTAGGTGCATTTTCTTGTAGTGTAGAGACTCTAGGAGAGATGTCAGGGCGGTTTTGAGTGGCAGATGCACCCACAACCGCCCAAAGATCTTCACGACAAGCCAGAAGACAACCCTCAAGAACGCCTCGCTTCGACACAGAGTCAAAGTGAGAATGTTGCCAATAGAGAAAAGAGTAGCTCTTCGCCTTGCATATGAGAAATTCCTGGTAGCTGCAAGGATTATATCGGTGATGTTTAAGGCCAACCTAACTACGAAGAGTCGCTTGTAGACCGTGAAAAGGCCTTGATCGACCTGTATAATCGATAGTCTTGATGAATCTTTGGGCTTTGCGGCCTTTGGAGGTAGTTGGCTGTGGCTTTTTGTCTATGCATTGATAGAGCATTGCTGGGTTAAAAAAAAAAACAAAAAAAAAAACAAAAAAAAAAACAAAACAAAAAATGAAGAAATGGTAGAGATCCATGTGGACCCATACGATGTGATTTGATAAAAATGATCCATAACATTAATCCAAAAATAATAATAATAATAATAATGGCAACGTACCAGGAGGCTTAAAAACTCGAGAATTGCAGAGGCACAACACAATGGCGCAGACGCAGAGCAGAGGTGAGCAAATTGTTCGATGCCAAAAAGGGCGCTCGGACCAGAAAACAAATCTAGAGGCAACATTGGCACAATACAAAAATAAGGGAAAAAATAGGGAAATTCTAATAAGGGTGTCTATATGCACCGAGTTATGCCATTTATCTTTTATTCTTTATTTTTTATATTCTATTTTTAGTTATGACTAATTTTCTTTTTCAATTATCACATTATTTTAGTTAATATTCATGAAATTCTTTGTAAATACCTTATGTTATAGTTAGGGGTTATTTTGGGTGTCTTAAATAAGCGCACTTTTTGTCGTTTTAGACTAAAAAATTGAGAAAAAATTGTAGATACTTGGGTTAACTTTTTGACTTTTTATGAAAAAATATGTATTAAAAAATTGTATAAATTAGTTTGTAGGAGAAAATTAGGATTGAGAGTTATGCAGTCGTAATTTTTGACTTTTGGTAAACAGTGATAACTTTTTAACTTTTTGAGTAACTTTTTGACTTTTTTGCAACTTGCCAAACTTGGCCTTAATTATGACATTTTATTTTATTTTTAGTTCTGACTCAGAAAATATGAAATTTTATCAGTTTCTTCTTTCGTTAGAAGGTGTATATGGTATACACTTTTTGAAGGGTGCATGTGTTTCCTAAATAAAGGAGTGTAGAAAAAAAAAACGGTGAAACCAGTGATTTGATACAATCTAGTTTAAATAGTCGATTTGATATGATTTTTATTAGTTTCGGTTCTGATTTGAAAATGGTGGAACCTTCGAAATCGGTCTGGTTCTCGATTCGAAAGTTTTGGTTACAGTTTTGAACCGAATTGTGACATTTATTTATTATTTTTGAGAGCCGCTATTCCCACACCACTTTGCTCTAAATACAATTCATTCTTTGTTTTTTATTATACGTAGTTCCATTAATATCATTTCACACAAAATATAGCTTCTGAAAAAAGCAAGGGTATTAATATAACTATTTATAATAAGAACAAGAAGTGAGTGCCTTTGGAGCAAAATATAATGTAATAGTGACTCTCTTGTTTTTGTTTTTTTTTTTTAAATATAAGGCGAATTATACTAATGGTCCATGTACTTAAAGCAAAGTCGTCAATTTGAAAAAATATAAACTAGTTTGATAAAAATAAATGTTAAAAAAATGATTTTTAGATTTTTAAAAATTATTTCTACCCATCAAATATAAAATTATATAAAAATAATAAATCTTTTATATTTTTTCATTTTTATAGTTTTACCAAATTAATTTTTAATATGTGTTTAAATGATGATTATGTAATGAATGATTGGTTTTGTTAATATTTTTGGATGGTTATTATGTAATTAATGGTCGTTTTTATTATATGAAATGTTTTTAGTTTTTGATTTTTTGATTTAATGAATTAGTTTTATATATGACATCAACGTTATTGTCGTGTTTGACTTTTGAAAAAATATAAACTAATTTAATGAAAATAAATATAAAAAAAAAAGATTATTTATACCCACCCAAAAAGATAAAATTATATAAAAATAATGTGTTTTTAATTTTTTCCACCAATTTAATTTTTAGTTCTCTAGAATTTTTTTTGAAAATAGATTCTGAAAACCAAACCAAACAGAATTTTATAGCCATGAAAGTGTCAGTATTATTAATTTAAAAAAAGGCTATTACATTTCAAAAAACATACAAGTTAACTAAGACAAAATAAGTTGTGTAGTGATTTTGGCCTTGAAATAGATCATTTGCAAAGGAAACATATTTTATTGTCTTTATTTGAAACAAAATTCAAAATTCAGAGTCAAATATATCACAATTGAAAAGTTAATGACAAAAATGATATAAGCCCTAAACTATAGAGGCAATTAGTGTAATTCGCCTTTTTTTATAAGCAAAAAATTAAATATAAAAAGTTTATTATAAGATTTGAACACTAGTCTGCATTGTAAAAATTGATAAATTCTAGCTAACTTTAATCAAATTTATTATTGTTAATTTATTTACTAACATAAAACATATATCATATTTATTATTATATAAAATCTTTAGAATCGTAAAATCAAAACGAACCAAATCGGTTCTATGATCTGGTTTTGATTCAATTTTACAGTTTAATAATTTGATTACGGTTCTAATTTTTTTAAAAACAAATTCCTATAATTTGATTCCTAATTTACTCTAAAATCGGATCAATCTGATCTATCTACACCCCTATCAAGTAGTGTAGCATTCTATGAGCGTCTAAACGATGACCCGATTACACCCCTATCAAGTAGTGTAGCATTCTATGAGCGTCTAAACGATGACCCGATTTGAAATCCACTCATTTTGTTCAGCATTGACTCAAATTTTAGAAAAGGCATATTAGGAATTGCAGTTATTTTAAGAATTTTTATATAATGGGTTGTAGAAAAATCTTGATTAAAATTGAGAAAATTAAAATTACAAAAATTAAAATCAAGTTAATTCATATATTACAGAGATCAAAATAATACAATAATTAAAATATAAAGACTGTTGACATAATTTGCCCTGTAAATGACATCGACCAATAAATGCCTTAAAATGACGATCTAATAAATTTTACAATAAGATCTTAATTATATAGTTCAAAATTGTATAAAATAATGAGCTTAAGTATTAAAAAATTACTAATATAAATCTATTTATATTGACATGGTATTACTTAATTGATATATTATAATAGATTTGATTATACTTAATAATTTTTTATTATTTATTTTATTTTTTAGTTGACTTCATATTAGCCAATGGAAAGTCAGCGAAGGAAATACTGGATGATTAAGTTGGACTTCACCCTAGTTGATTTTATTTTATTGGTTGTATTGCCAGATTTAATTTTTATTAAGGCCTCGTTTGGAAAGTAATAGCTTTAGTCTAAAAGTAAAAAGTTACTAAAAAAATTAAAAAACTTATAATCTATACCAAAAAGTTAAATATTTCATTTTCTCTCTATTTTTTGTACATTTTTTTATAAAAAATTAAAAAATCATTTCAACCATATACGTTTTCTTTACCTTATATTTTAGCTCAAAAGCCAAAATATTACTAAAATAACATATTCTCAAACAAGACCTAAGTTTAAGTTTGAGCTGGATTTCACTATACTATTCGCAATTGTTTAATATATAAAATAATATTTTTAGTTTTGAATTTTTTGATTTAATGAGTTAGTTTAATATATGACATCAAAATTATTATCATGTTTGACTTTTGAAAAAAATATAAACTAATTTAACAAAAATAAATATAAAAAAAATATTTCTATCCTTCCAAAAAGATAAAATTATATAGAAGTAATATATTTTTAATTTTTTCGTCAATTTAATTTTTAGTTTCTTAGAAATTTTTTCTAAAAATAGATTCTAAAAACTAAATTAAACAGAACTTTATAATTAAGAAAGTGCCAGTATTATTTATAAAAAAACGCAATGACCATAAAAGTTAACTAATACTAAATAAGTTGCATAATGATTTTGCCGTTGAAATAGACCATTTGCAAATGAAATATCGTTGATTATCTTTATTTAGAACAAAATTCAAATTACACAAATCAAAATGACACAATAACTAAAATATAAGGACTACTAACACAATTTGCCCTATGAACCACATCAACCAATAAATGCCTTAAAATGTCAATCTAATAAATTTTACAATAAGATCTTAATTATATAGTTCAAAATTGTATAAAATAATGAACTTAAGTCAAAAAATTACTAATATAAATCTATTTATATTTACATGGTACTCTGTTTGGCAAGTTGGTTTGTGGCTATTTTAATCACAAAAGACAAAATAGGTTATTTTAGCTACAATAAACAAAACATTACATCTAACACATAATCATTACACTCTACTCTAAAAAAAAATCAAAAAAAGTCAAAAAACTCTTTCCAAACCAAGTTTTTTAGCCCAGGCTAAAATAACTAAAAAAATTAAAAAGCCAAAAAGTTTACTCACTTCTCAAACGGAAGCTATTAATATATTATAATGGATTTGATCACACTTAATAATTTTTTATTATTTATTTTATTTTTTAGTTGACTTCAAATTAGCCAAAGGGAAGTGAACGAAGCAAATACTGGACGATTAAGTTGGGACTTTACTCTAGTTGATTTTATTTTATTTGTTGTGTTACCAAATTTAATTTTTATTTTTTGTGTTTAAGTTTGAGTTGGATTTCATTATACTATTCACAATTGTGGTTCTAAATTTAGGAAAATTCTCTTGTGTGTAATTTTATCACAAAATTACTTAAATTTTCTCGAACTTACGTAAGTGATTTTACAAAAATGCGTAAGTTAAATATAAATTCGTGTAAATTCATAAAATCACATAAATTTTCACTAACTTGTGCGAATTTGTAATTAATTTACACATTTTTTTTTTTATAAAAAAAAATCACTTATATAAATTTGTGATACTTACATAATTTTAGGACAAATTACACAAATAGTCCCTATAGTTTGGGGCTTGTATCAATTTGGTCCGTGACTTTTCAATTGTGACACATTTAATTCTGAATTTTGAATCTTGTTCCAAATAAGGACAATTGAATATATAATTAGATTTTTCAAGGATAAAATTGTTAATTTGATAAAATATAAACTAATTTGACAAAAAAAATGTCAAACAAATATTTTTGAATTTTTTAAAAATTATTTCTACCTACTAAAAATAAAATTATGTAAAATTGATAAATCTTTTAGACATTTATTTGTTTTTTTTACCAAATTAATTTGTATTTTGTGTTTGGATGATGATCGTGTAAAATTAATTTTAAAAAATTAATCATGTAATTTTCATTAATTTTACATAATTTTATCATTGGTGGATAAAAATAATTTTAAAAAAATTAAAAATATTTTTTGACATTTATTTTGTCAAATTAGTTTATATTTTATCAAATTGACGATTTTACCATTGAAAAATCTAATAATATTTTCAATTGTCATGATTTGAAATACGATTCAAAATTCAGGGTCAAATGTATCACAATTGAAAAGTCAGGAAACAAAGTGATATAAGTCCCAAACTATAGGGACCATTAGTGTAATTAACCCATAATTTTATATTAAGATTATATATGGGGTACAATACACCGAAGCATTTCTCCTAAATTTAATACTAATCTAAACTGAGCCGATCCATGCACCCCTAGTTACAGATGAAGTGTTGGTCAAATCTGGTATGTCAAAAAATTAGAGAAAATAAGATGGGCAGTTGGTGAAATCTAGTATGGATATCTCTTCTTTCTGTGTGCTGGTTCCTAGTTTTATTTTTTGTAATTTTTATTTAATGTCTATGCATTGAAATCCAAAAAATAAAATAAAATAAAAAAATAAATAATTAATAATGAAGTATTTAACAATGGCACTGCACCAGTTCTTCTCTTTGAGTGCTCCTACTGGGAGTATTACATCTTTCCTTCCACCCAAGGAGTGATTTAGTTCAAATCAACACTATTATTTTAAGAATTTTTTTAATGTGTTTTAAAATGCATGCATATTAATAAACTTAAAAAAGATTATAGATTCTGCACATATTAGCAAGATTTTTATTTTATTTTTATTTTATATGCTATCAATTATAATTAACGAAATCAATAAAAGTGGAGCATCGTCTATCTATGATTTTATGAAAACAAATTGCAATGAAGTAAAATTTTAGATCTACTAATCAATCAAATCAATAAAAATGAAATAGGAGATTTCACCTATTCATCTTTTTCAAGAAGGCGAGTTCAAATAAAAGTAAAATTACGTTACTTAATTAATGACTCAAAATTTCACCTGTTCATCTTTTCGAGAAAGGGAGCTCTAATAATTTGGGATCATAAAATTTGACTGAAAATGATTAGTCAGCACAGAATATAACGTGTATCCTGACCATCAAAAACAAACTTCAAAAGCAACTATTGACAAATTATAGAGGTTAAATTGAAATATTTTGGGAAGATAGTTATAATTAATTTTTTTGGTTAAAAGCTGCTTATAAACTGCTTATAAGCAGTTTTTTTTTAGAGAGAAAGTGGGTTATAATCCGAAAAGTAGATTATAACACACTTCTCAAAAGGGGCGATTGCTTAATTTTTTTTTTTTTTATCGACAAAAAAGCAACTATATTGATGAACGGTTACACTGTTTAATTAGTAAGATAAGAGATAAGAAATGGGCATCAAAGTTGTATTTTATTGGTCAATGAAACCTAAGACACTTCATCCATCATTTACTATATTATTATATCTTATTGGTCAATATAATATTAGCATAACAAGTTTCATCGCTTCGAATATCAATTGATGGCACTGATTTATTTTATATTTGAATCTTACGCCACACCAATTTAATATCTAGCATACAAACACATTACCCAAAAAAATATGGATAAATTTCTCTGGGATAGTAGCATTTTGGAATATGTGTTCTCAGTACAATTCCTACGAGTCTTACGTTAGTCCTACATCATTGTTCTCAAAAGTCTCTCTATAGAACTTGGCATCCGTTTCAATTTTATGAAGTACAAGGTAAAGAAATACTATGTCTCCATTTCAATTTATTAAAGCACAACTTGAACAAAACAAAACAAAACAATTTCATTGTTCTATAAATTCGGCAACAAAACTACACCACTGCTTCATTCATAAATAACTACTACAATCTCTTCACATAAAACATACCTGCATATATTTCTCGAGTAAGGATTCTCTAAACTGGTTTTTTCTTAAAGTTTCCTAGAGTGCTACATTGTGTGGTTGAGATTTACTGGCAAGTCACATCAATTTTTCTGATGTGACTTGCCAATAAATCTCAACCACACAATGTAAAACTCTAAGAAATTTTAGAAAAATTTCACTCTAGAGAATCTGTTAGGATCAAACACACCCAGAAATATATCTCACACACTCAGGAAACACACATGAGGATCACCCCTTTCACATGGGGTGACCTTCAACAGAATCCTTGGTGATATTTCTCAACAGCCATGAATCAAACACCCAATGTAGCTCTTCTACCAAGTCCAGGGATGGGCAATCTCATACCACTCGTAGAATTCGCCAAGCAACTCGTCCTCCACCACCACCACTTCTCGGCCACCATCATCTTCCCCTCCCCTGGACCACCCACAAAAGCCCAAAAATCAGCCCTCCAAAACCTCCCCAAAACCATCCACCACATCTTCCTCCCACCCGTGGACTTACCTAAGGACCAGCTCAATGTTGCATCCCAAATCTTCCTCACCATGACACTCTCAATTTCCTCCCTTAGAGACACTTTCGCTTCATTAACGACAACTACCCGGTTGGTGGCTCTCGTCGTCGATCCTTTCAGTATCAGTGGCCTTGATGTAGCGAAAGAATTCGGGGTCTCGCAGTACTTGTTCTATCCCTCAACAGCCATGTCACTACAATTTTCGTTTCATTTGCCAAAGCTTGATGAGATGGTTATGTGCGAGTATAGAGACCTACCTGAACCGATAAAACTTCCCGGTACTGTACCGGTTCATGGTAGAGATCTCGCGGACTCGGTTCAAGACCGGTCAAACAAAGCGTACAAGGGTCTCCTTGCAAACGTAAAACGGTTCACTTCAGTCAAGGGCATAATTCTGAATAGTTTCATGGAATTGGAAGAGGGTACCATAAAAGATTTGCAGGTGGAGGAGCTGGGCAAGCCGCCAATTTATCCAATCGGACCGCTTATCCAAACAGGTTCAAAAACTGATGAGTCACTAGAGCGACCCGAGTGTTTGCAATGGTTGGATGATCAGCCAAGTGGGTCAGTCGTGTTCATATCATTCGGAAGTGGTGGTACTCTCTCTCATGACCAGCTTAATGAGCTAGCATTAGGTCTGGAACAGAGCGGCCAAAGATTTTTGTGGGTTGTGCGAAGCCCTAATGATAAATCTAACAATGCAGCATTCTTCACTGCCGAAAGTCAAAACGACCCTTTTAGCTTCTTGCTAAAAGGGTACTTGGAGAGGACACGAGGCCGAGGCCTGGTGGTGCCATTATGGGCACCGCAAATTGAGGTGTTGAGCCACTGTGCAATTGGTGGTTTTGTGACACACTGCGGGTGGAACTCAACGCTGGAAAGCATCGTCCATGGTGTGCCTCTGATTGCTTGGCCACTCTACGCAGAGCAGAAGATGAACGCAGTGATGCTAACAGAGGGTCTGAACGTGGCGTTGAGACCAAAACGTGAGGAAACTGGGCTGGTGAGACAAGAGGAGATTGCAAAGGTTGTGAAAAGTCTTACGGAAGGAGAAGAAGGGAAGAAGCTTCGCCAGAGAACAGAGGGCCTGAAGGATGCTGCTGCGAACGTCTTGAGCAAAGATGGGACTTCTACAAAATCCCTATCAGAATTAGCATTCAAGTGGCAAAATCAAATGAACATTTGATACCAAATTGATCGTTCTTATTTCATTTTTCGTTTATTTCTCGTTTGTCTTAATTTTCAGTTTTCGTTGTGTTTGGGTATCCCACATTATTGTAGTATATGTGTAATATTGCGGTTGTTTTGGATCTGAGCTGTATTTAAAAGTTCATGTTTGCATAAAAAATAAAGACTGCAGCAATACCATGACTTGTATGAAGGAATGTCGCCTACAAAATGTGGTCCACAAATAAGTCACAACGTATAATATTCCCAAGAATCATCTAGTGCCAAACACACTCTTATGTCGAACTCCATTTAGGATATCTAAACCCAACTCCAAACTTAATAGTAGGTGTGACCAAACACCTCATTTCAACCAAAAAAAAAAAAAGTGCAGATTTTTTTTTTAATTTTATTTACATTGTTGTCTTCATGCTTTCCTCTCTAACTTCTCTTTATATTCTCTCTCATTTTCCTTTACTTTCTTGGTGGCTAAACACCACACCTTTGCTCCATCCTTACACCACCACCTTAACCCACCATCTCCACCATCGCCGGCCACCTTATCTCACCGAAAAAAGGGTCCGGTTGGCCACTCCTTAAATCCATCCGAAGATAGCACAATAGAAGTACCAACTCTAAATTTTTCTTAATCTTTTGAAGAATCAAAGCTTGGGGTTTATTTTCTTGATGGATTAGAGGCTTGTAATTGGTATGAATCTTTCTTTAACAGTTTAGTTTAAGGTTTTATATATTTTGAGTCAGAGATGATGAAATTTTTTGTATTTTAGATCTATTATGATTTGGGGTTTGATTGTTGAGTTTTATACTCTCAATTAGTTTCTATGAATGTTTTACATGTTGAAAAATGATCAATTTGATGGTTGTTTTGGAGATTAAGATTTGGGTTCATCTAGGGTTTGAATGTGATGTAAAAATTGGGGATTTTGGTGTTAGGAAATTTATATGTTGAAATTGATTTGATAAATGATGGATTAGGTATCTTTATGTCGTATGGCGGAATTTTATAAATGATTGAAGAGATTTTACTTAAGTTGTTGAGTTTATAAAAAATGTTGATTTTTGACTTTTGTAGTTAATTGATGGTGGTATTGTGCATATAAATTGATTGGATATTTAAAAAGTTACTAACTCAAAGATGTACAAAGAATGGGTGTTGTGGAGATTGGATAAGTTATTTGTTTGGGTGACTTGAAATTGGAGGAGTTTTTTAGCTTGTCATTCCTTAGCATAACTTATTTAGGATCATTTTTGTAGATGTTGTAATTTTCATTTAAAGCTTTTTCCTAATTTTAGATCCTATTTATTAATTGTTAAGATTGGAGGAAGGCGTCTCTACACCTCTTGGGAATTAATTTGTAGAGTCTCAATCTACTCTTTTGCTATTTTTGGAGGTGAGTATACTTACCATGAGTATACTTACCATGGAAATTACCTTACCTCTATCTTTATTACAAAGTTTGAAGATAATTTTGAATTAAAGGAAGTGAATGATACATTTCATCATGATATATGTATAAAAAGAAAAATCTATAAATCTATTGAGGCCAAGGGTTGAGTTTAAATAAATATATGATTTCATTTGTATAATGAAGTACTAATTTTTTTATGAGAATTTATTTAAGTTGAGCCCTTCAAATTTTATGATGATGATGATCGAATGGCAATGAAACATTGTACAAGGGTATTTATTGTTTTGATCATATAACCGAATATAGCCTTTGGGGCCACAAGGGCCAAAATGCTTTGGGGTCCTGGGGACCGAAATGTTTTAAGGACCATAAGGGTCGTTGTATATATAAGGGGTCCCGGGGACCGAAACATTGAAATGAGAATTGAAGTGCTACGTTGACATGAGTTATGTTCCTTTGGTTATGTTTTGGGTAATGGTACCGTCACCACCTAAGTCGCGAGGTAACGCGATCCTAAGGCTATGTAGTGATTCGTATGATGGACATGAAATCTTAATGTATTGAAAAGTTATATTTTTGTTTATTTTCATTATTTTTATTTTTATTTTGTATAAATTTCAGTCCAATTAAGCTCTTATGTTTATTATCTTTATTTTGAACCCAATTGGAATTCGCAAGTTTTATAACTCCATGGTATTGGTATACTCATTGGGTTTTAGCTCATTCTTTTAAATAATTTTTTTTCAGATTCATAGAATTTTGTGTGGCTCGCCTCAACTTGGAAGACTAGAATTTTTTGAAGGATCAAAGATGGGCATCTTGTAGTTGAGGTTTTGCTTAGGGTCATTCTAGGATGTAAGTTTACCCTTTATTTTCTTTATGAAGGAGGTTGATTGTAAATAATTGCTTATGAAGTTGGATGTATTGATGGATTCGTGAATGTAGACACCCTATTTTTGACCGACCTTAAGACTTGGGCGCTACTGATGGCTTCCTTGGTGATGAAAGTTGTGCAGGCTATGCTATGCAAAGGGTCGATTTCTTTGGCAAGAAGAGCGTCAAATCCAAACTTCACACCCCATTTTGTACCAAAGCTATTTTGAATGGTTTTTAGACCTTAAAACCCTCTCTTTCAAAATATTTTTGAAATAAAGTTTCTACGATGTTCCGAGGCTCGCATTTTGTCAAATGTTGCGCTTTTCAGTAAACCGAGCAAGGACAAAGGGGAAATAAATGAAAGAGAGATGAAATCTTGAAAAAATCTTTCAAAACACTTTGCTTTGGGGGTTTGGAGTTGAAGAAAAGAAGAGAAGAGGGAAGAAACCAAGTTGGAGAAGAAGGTGGGCATGAATCGCTAAGAGAGAGTCGAGTAGCCCTCGCTAAATCAGGCCTATCCGTTTGCATACTTGGATTTAAGCTATGAGGCCATCACCGTTGGAAATCTTACTTCTGGGGCTTCATTTTTCACTTAAGAATCTCCTAAATCCGAGTCCGTATGGGGGAGATATGATTGACTGAAGTTGGGCATCATTCGGGTTGGACTGAAACTGAGCAACCTTCACTAAAAGAGGGATATCTCTTAGCACACATGGAATTTTTAGGTGAGGTTTCCAAATTTGGAAAAACGACTTCCGGGGCTACAGTTTAGGCTCAAGAATGACCTGAAAAGGAGTCCATATGAAGGAATTAGGCTTTCTTCAAAATAGGGACCAGGACTGATTTTTTCCATCAGCCTCTATGGAAGTCCACCGGCCACAATTTGACCTCAGCAGCTATATGTTGGCCAAAAGTGAACCTTATCGGCCACAAATGGTGGCCGGTTGGCACTAAAGATGGCTGGTCGGCCAGAAGTGTCCAAAACTCAGATTTTTGATAGATATTTCTCCTCAAACTGTTTCCAGCAAGCTCCAGCTGTCCTATAATCAAATATTTTCGACCTTGAGCTCATTTTTTCTATATATGAGGCTATATCTCTCATTTTCAAAGAGATAACTTCTTGAGCAAGTTTGGGAGCCTCTCTCTCTAAAGACTCCTCTCTCTCTATAATTTTCAGACCAAAACCTCTGTCTCTCTCTTTAGAGCCTCTCTTTATTGCCCTTTTGTGCATAGAAGTCCATAGGAGTAGAGAAATACTTCTTGTTTGCATATACTTCCTTCATCAAAGTTGCATATCCATGGGCTGAGGTCTCTTGGAACTGGTTTTTGGGCTGATAGAAGGTCATTTGAGCCAAGAAAGAGGTCCTTTTGCTGCTGTGCTACAAGGGTAAGCACCTCTCCCCTTTTGTTTGAATTTTGCACACTTACTTCACTATCTTTGCACATTACTTTGGGGCTATTTTTTGGGGTGGTGTTGAACTACAAAAACCTCTATTTTCCCTCTGTTTTGTAGTCCTAAAAGTCTTGGCTTGTGCCTTGGTTGGCTAGGGGGTTGTCCTCCCTTTTGCTCATTGGCTTGTAGGGTCTTGTGAGCTAACTTGCAAACTTTTCAAACAACTTCTTTTTGGCCTCAGAACCACTGAAATCCAGAGGGTTTTCAGTGGTGGAAAACCTGTTTTGAGGGCCAAAAAAAAGAAAGGGTGGTCCCCTCTCCTCTTGTCTTGCTTGCTAGTGTTGATGGTCAACCAAATGAGCATGTGTTTCTACTTCTTTGAGGCTTTGTTTAGGCTCATTTTTGTGACTTTCCAGACCTTCCATAACTCTATTTTGGGCTGTCTTGCTCACCTCTTGCATGCTTTATACATTGGTAGTGTAAATCTTCTTTGCTAGTCTTATATGCTTGATGTTGTAGCCTATTATTCTAGCATGTTTTGGCTTCACTCCAGCACATTTTTGGCTTTGATTTAACATGCTTGAGGTCTAATTTAAGTGGTTTTGGTCATGCATGTTTGGTTTTGCATACCTATGGTGTATTTGGCTTTGCTAGCCTTGCACTTTGGGCCCCCTGGCATGTCATATTTGAGATATTTGCACGATATGGAGTCATTTGGTAGGTAATTTCAGGCCATAAACTTCTGCCATGCTCTCATGATTATCACTTTTTCATTGTGTTTAAGAGTTGTGCCCTTATGCCTTGTTTGTGAGCTAATTCAGGAGCTTATCTTTCTTGCCATCTTTGTTGTGAGTCCAGCATGTTTTTGCTAACATTTTGACCTGCCTTAGGTCTATTTTGAGTGCTTTAAGTCATTTGAGCATTACTTAGTATGGTTGTAGTGTAAAGCCCTTGACTAGCTTTGTATTTCGGGCCTCTTGGCATGCTTTATTTGAGCTATTTGCATGATTTAGCACCCTTTGGAATGTAATTTCAGAGCTTACTTCATTGCTGAATTCTCATATCTGTCACCTTTTCATCGTGTTTGAGAGTTGTGTTATTATGCTTAAGTCATGGGCCAATGCATGCGCATGCATTCCTTACTTTTTCAAGCCATCGTTGCAACATTTTGGCCACTAATTTGGGCATGGATGAGGTTTTCCATTTTGGTTTAAGTCCATAGTGCATGTTGTTGCATGCTTGTCCATCTTTGCATGCCATGCATGTTTGTATGTTTAGGTTGCATTTTGCATGCTTGCCAGTTTGCATTTTGTCACATGCTTGATTAGGTTGCATTGCATTTGGCATGCTTGTTACCTTAGCCTCGTGTGCATGCTTGAGTCCTATTGCGTTTGGCATGCTTAGGTTGCATAGTATTGCATTTCCATGTTGCATTGTATTTGGCATACATGAATTGCATTGTGTTTGGTTTGGGGTGTCAAACCAAACACGAGGACCGAGGGGCG